GCCATCTCACACCGCGCCGAAGGCTGCTCCTCCAGTGGCTGCTTCAGGAGCCTTGGGCCTATTGCTAAGACCAGGGGGAGGGGGGAAGCTCCCCCAGCTTTTCCCAGCTCCACTCCTCTTAGTCCCTCACTGCAGCTGCCCAGGCCGCTCCTTTTATATGCTCCAGGCTCCGCCCCTCAAGTCTGACAGTGTTACAGTCTTCAATCAGGTCTGGGCCTGGAGGGAGCTCTTCTTCCCCTCCCCTCAGGAAAGGGGCGTGACTTTATTTCTCCTGCTGCCTCCTAATTGGTGGATGGGCTCCACCAATCAAAACAGCAGGATCTCAACCCAAGCTCTGAAAGGTGAGCCTGCTACACTAGCAAGAGTCATTTTGCTAATGGATTTGCACAGGAGAGTTGGGGTAGGGACGGGCTCACTTCAGGCAGGGGGTTGGACTAGACGTGACCTCACAAGCATTGCAGAAAAATCCAGGTGGGCCAGAGAAGCACAAGAAGGATGCTGATGGAGGGGCTCCCATATGAGGAGACACTACATAGGCTAGGCCTATTTGGTTTAGAAAAGCGAGGCTCGAGGGGAGACATGATCAGGGTTTGCAAAATACTAAATAGTGAAGACCTGCCATGGCGGGCAGGTCTTGTCTCACCAACCTCATCTCGTTTGCAATCAGGTAACTTGCCACCTGGATAAGGGTGAGGAGGTTGACGTTGTATATACCTTGACTTCCAAAAGGCCTTTGATTTGGTATCCCACACTGTTCTCATGAGCAAATTGGAGGACTGTGGGCTTAACCCTGAGACAGTCAGGTGGGTAGGGAGCTGGTTGCAGGGCAGGAACCAGGGAGTGCTATTGAATGGATCTACGTGGTCCTGGCGAGAGGTGGGCAGCGGTGTCCCGCAGGGGTCGGTGCTTGGTCCAGTGCTTTTCAACATCTTTATCAATGATTTGGATGTGGGGGTGAAGAACTCACTGGCCAAGTTCATGGGCGACACCAAGCTATGGGGAAGTGTAGTCATGCTTGAAGATAGGCTGCAGATACAGGTGTGATCACCTACCCTGGTAATCTTCAAGAGGAGACTGGATGGTCACCTTGCTGGGGTCACTTGTCTTTCCTGCTTGGTGCAGAGGGCTGGCCCTGATGATCTGCCAAGGTCCCCTCCAGCCTCACAAAGCTATGACTCTATAAGAGAAAGTGAACAGGAATGTATTATTGACTCTCTCCCAACACAAGAACAAGAGGTCACAAAATGAAGCTAGTAGGTAGCAAGTTGAAAACTAACACAAGAAAGTTGTTTTTCACCCAGCGTGTCATTGAAGGCTGGGATTTTTGCCCTCAGATATGGTGTACGTTGCGGGTCGGGCTAGATTAAAAAGGGATGGGACCTATTCTTGGAGGAAAGGGTTATCAGTAGGTAGTGAGCATGGGAGTGAAGGGCACGGCCTCCAAATCAGAGCTTCCCAGACCTGAAATGCGGGAGGCTCAGACCCCGTTCACTCTCCCTTCCGGTGTCCACTCTCTGCCGCTGCGTGACACGGAGGGGCTTTTGTGTTACGAATGTTTCCAAGTCTAGGTCCGAATTTGCACATATCTCACTTGCCCTTGGCCTACAGGGCCCAGGAAAACCTAGACTTAGCCTTAGCCCGGACCTTGCCTCTCTGCTTGCCAT